GGCGGCGGGGCGGCCCGAGGGCCGGGGCGCGGCGCGCAGCTCCTCGGCGCTCAGCAGCCCGCGGTCGTACTTGCGGCGCAGCGCGGCGCTGCCCAGCACGCGGTAGGCCTCGCTGACGGCGGCGAAGCGGGCGGCCGCGGCCGCGCTGCCCGCGTTGCGGTCGGGGTGGTAGCGGAAGGACTGCTCGTAGTACGCCGTCTTGATCTGCGCCGCCGTCGCCGTGGACGGCACGCCCAGCACCTCGTAGAGGTCGCGGCGCGGCCGCGGGGCTCCCGCGCCGCCCGTGTGCACGAGTGACGCCACCGGCGGGAGGAGCGGGCTGCGGGCGGGCGCGGCGCGGGGTAGTGACGTCACGCAGGCGCAGCATGGCGGGCAGCGGCCGCCGGCCCGAGCACCGCGGGCCGCCCGAGCTGGTGAGGGAGCGGGAACGGCCGGGGGGACCGGGAGCGGCTGGGAGAACCGGGAATGGCCGAGGGGACCGGGCAGGGCCGGGGGGATCGGGCTCGGCTGGGGCACCGGGCAGGGTCCGGGCCTCAGCGCGCCCGCCGCTCTCTCGTTGCAGTTCTACGATGAGGCCGAGGCGCGGAAGTACACGCAGAAGTACGGCGGGAGCGGCGCTGGGCGCGGCCTGTGCTGGGGTCTGGCGTGGGGCGGGCAGCGGGGGAAGCGCCGCGGGGGGATTGGCCCTGGATCCTGCCGGAGCCGCGGGGCCTGGGGTCCGTGCGGCTGGGGGTCCGGCAGCGGCGGGAGGGAGCGGCAGGGTGCGATCCTGCCGGGAGCCCAGCGGTGCTCGGGTCCTGCCCTGGGCGGTGCTCGGGTCCTGCCGCGGGGCGGTTCCAGCCCCGCGGTGCCGGGGATGTCGCCCGTCGCCCACGCTCTGCTCTGTGCCTCAGCTCCCGCGTGGTGGAGATCCAGTCGCAGATGTCGGAGCGCGCCGTGGAGCTGCTGGGGCTGCCCGAGGACCGGGCGTGCCTCCTGCTGGACGTGGGGTGAGCGGGCTCTGCCCGGGCTGTGGCACGTCTGGGGCGGGAGGGGTGCACGGCAGGGGGTGGCCGTGTCCCGGTGTCCTTTGTGGGCTGAACAGGAGGGACAGGCTGCTGGAACGCTGGGGGTGTGTGGCCAGCACAGCCTCAGAGCAGCCCCACAACCCCAGCACTTTCTCCCTTTCTCCCTCTAGCTGTGGCTCGGGGCTGAGTGGGGATTACATCTCTGAGGAGGGTCACTACTGGATTGGCATGGACATCAGCCCTGCCATGCTGGGTGAGCACAGCCCCCCCTGAGCCCCTCAGGGGCCCCGGGGTGGGAGCTGACTGCCTGAGCTGTGCTGTGTTCTGTGCAGATGTGGCCGTGGAGAGGGAGGTGGAAGGAGACCTGCTCCTTGCAGATGTGGGGCATGGCATCCCCTTCAGGCCTGGCATGTTTGATGGCTGTATCAGGTGAGTCTGTGCTGCAGCTGAGCTCCCCTGACACCCCCAGAACTGCTCAGTACCCTGGTGCACACCTGTAGATCACAGGTGAGAGGGACTGGCCTTGTCAGCCTTTCTGCTCTGTGCACCTTGGCTCCATCACCCCAGCACAAACCTCCAAAATTCTGGGTGGTAGGAACAGCTTGTGACAGCTGTTTGCCAGGTGATGCTTCTCCTTTTGTGCTGCTGAGCTAGGAATTTTGTTGAAGGGAAGAAAGTAAAGCTGGGGATATTGTCAGGGTGGCTGAGACCTGCTCCAAGGAGGAGAACAAAGTATAAAGTGGCACAGCTTAGAGGAGTCAGTCCCTGGAGCAGGGTTTGATGCTTGGCTTTGGTATGGGGGGCAGAGGGCGACTTAGCTGCTCAGAGAACAGCTGGGAACAAGCAAGGGCTGTCCATTGCTGAGCCAAAAGCTCTGGCTCAGATTGCTCTGTGGGAAAACCTGCTTGGGCAGGCAAGAGACACAGCTGGGCCCTCCCGTGCTGCTCAGGAACTGTCATGCTTGGAGCAGGAGTAACGGCTTCAGGCTGAAAGGGGGAAAATTGAGGTGAGATACAGAGAAGAAATTCTCCCCTGTGAGGGTGGTGAGGCCCCCAGGGTGCCCAGAGCAGCTGTGGCTGCCCCATCCCTGGATCCATCCAAGACCAGGTTGGACAGGGCTTAGAGCAGCCTGGTCTAGTGGGAGTGTTCCTGCCCACGGCAAGGGCTGGAACAAGCTGAGCTTTAGGGTCCTTCCAACCCAAAGCATTCTGTCATCCTAGGATTTGAGCACTTGGACTAAAGGGGATGCTTGGTGATGCTTTTGTCCTTTAACTTATGCACCTTGTTAAGTTTTGTGAGTCTCCAGAGGAGTTTGTGTAGCTGTGAAACAAAAGGCAAAGCAACACAGAGGAAATTAAATTATTTCCCTGAGGCCCAGCACATGCCTAGAGCAGGAATTCAGCTCGAAGGGAGGTGGCAAGCTCTGTGCAGGAACCAATGACTCTGTCCTGGGTTCTTACTTTCCTTCTCAGCATTTCTGCAGTGCAGTGGCTCTGTAATGCTGACAAGAAGTCACACAGCCCCCCCAAACGCCTCTACAGATTCTTCTCCACTCTTTACACTGCCCTGGTAAGTGCCACCCTCCACCAGCCAAGCCTCTGCTGCTCTTAGGGCTTTCCTTTTTAGCAGGACACTTCAGGTCAGGTTGTTTTAGGTAAATGCTGCCCTGAAGCAGGCCTGGCAGGAGCAGCCACTGCTGCCTTCTTGCCTGGTGCTGCTTCTCATCAGGGTTGTGGTGGTGGTGGTGTTTTCCAAACCTGCCAGTTCATGATTCTGGGATAGCTGGGGTTCCCCTGTGCCTCACTGGCTCTGTGGGCTGAGCAGCTCTCCTGGGAGCCCTGTCCTGGAGGTTTTGGGGAGGAGGGGGCTCGTGTTGGGCTGGGGTGGGTGACCCAGGGGGGTTACCTGCTCTGGGGCAGGGGTGTGACCAGCTCTGTTTCCTGCAGGCCCGAGGATCCCGAGCTGTGCTGCAGCTGTACCCTGAGAACTCAGAGCAGGTACAGCCCCTCACTCGGCTGGGAGGGGTGCAGGCAGAGAAATCATTCACTGTTTGCACTGTGTTCTTCCACACCAAGGCAGTGTCTCTGTCTCTCCTGCCACTTCTAAAGCTCTTCAGGAACCAAAAAAATAACCTGTGAGGAGGACACCTTGTGCACATTCTGTTGTTTCATAGATTGTCTTGGGCTGAGCCTTAAAGTGGTGGGACAGGGTGTGAGTGTGGGTTTGAAGACTGGCTTAACTCAGGTCTGGAAAATCCAGCCCAGTATCCCTCTCCTGGAGAGTCTGCTGTGCCAGCTACCCCAGCTATGCTGAGGAGCAGGGAGAACCAGCAGAGGCAGGGAATTGGTGTCTGGATGGGACTGCAGAGCTCAGCAGGAGGAGGAGCAGTCCCTCTTGGGAATGCCCAGCGAGGTGGGTGCTCCCAGAGGCCTCTTGGCTTTCCTGGGGCATGACTGCTCATTAACTTTGGACCTGCTGCTTTTCCCAGCTGGAGCTCATCACTGCCCAAGCCATGAGAGCTGGATTTACAGGGGGAATGGTGGTGGATTACCCCAACAGTGCCAAAGCCAAGAAGTGAGTCCTGCATCTCTGTGTTTGGGGTGAGGCCCAGGTTTGGCATTGGTGGTTTGTTTTCAGGGGTTTTTTTGGGTTTTTTGTTGATTGTGGGTTTGGGTTTTGGGGTTTTTTTTGGGGAGGGGTTATTTTGTTTTTTGGTTGGTTTTGTGTGTGTTTGTTTGTTTCCTGAGCTGTTCCCTCTTCCATTATACAGTTCTGGACAGAGGTTAAAGCTCAGATCTAATTCTGTCATAAACCACCTCACTTGCCTGGGGACTGAGACTCACATGCTGAATCCCATGTTCATGCTCCTTATTCTTGTTCTTTCAGGTTCTTCCTCTGTCTCTTTGTTGGGACATCTGGCACATTACCAAAGGTGAGGGCCTCCATGAGGCAGCAGAGCTGCTGCCCTGGGTGGTGTGGAGGAGCTGTGGACTGTGTGGGAGCCAAACAGCTCTGGGAGTGCAGATGTGACTTCATTTATACATTTTCTGCCAGGCACCAAGCCCTGCTCTCACATCATCACAGACTGGTTGGGTTGGAAGGGACCTTCCAGCTCATCTTGTTCCACCCCCTGCCATGGCAGGGACACCTTCCACTACCCCAGGCTGCTCCAAGCCCTGTCCAGCCTGGCCTTGGGCACTTCCAGGGATGGGGCAGCCACAGCTGCTCTGGGCACCCTGTGCCAGGGCCTCAGCACCCTCACAGGGGAGAATTTGTTCCCATATCCAATCTGTCCCTTCCCTCTTTAAAGCTGTTCTTCTGACATCTGCCTTTTTTTGCCATGCTTTCTGGAAGACCAGTTTGTTCCTGCTCTGGTCCTTCCCCTTGCAGATCCCTGCATTCCCCTTAGTTTTGCTGGGCTGTGCCTGGTCCAGAGGAGAACACAACTTCCCAATTTTGCTTTCCAGGGCCTTGGTACCGAGAGTGCCAGTGAAGAGCTGCACCAGGCAAAGTTCACCAATGAGAGGTATGATGGGGGTGAGGCTGCAGACTCTCTCTTTCACAGCAGCCCAGGGGAGAACTGCTTTATCTTCCCAAGGGCCTGGACACAGGGAACAAAACTAGTTAGTTCCAGGGCTCTTCCATGGGGCTCCAGGTGCTTACCCTAGAGCTGTAGCTGAGCAGTCAGCTGTGCTTTCTGTCCAGCACTGGGCTCTCCAGCTGGTGCCAGTGGTGTGGCAGAGGGAATGTTTACAGGGCTCATGATGGAGCCTTGGAGGCAGGCTGCAGTGCCTGAGTCCTGGCATTCCCTTTTTTCTCCTGTCCAGGTCTTAGCTGTGGCCTGGGGGTTTGTGCTGCTGGGCCTGTCTCTTCCCACAGTAGTGGTGCAGGGAGGAGCCCCTCTTGCAGCCGTTGGGAGAGACAGAACAAAAACCAGAGGAAAGTTGTCGTGGCTGCTAGGAGCTTGTGGCTGCCATGTTTTCCTGCCTCTCACATTGCTGTTCTTTGCTTACTCTTAAGGGCTGTCTGGTCTTGGAGGGCAGTAGCAGAGCTGGGAACGTTGTAGGAAGCCTGACTTTGTCTGACTTGTTTGGAGTAGAGCAGCCAAGGGGAAGGTGGTTGTGCATGAGCCTGTAATGCTCCGAGATCCCAGAGAGCAGCGTGCTGCTGGTGTGACAGGGGGTATGGCCTGAGTTCATGGGTCAGGATCCCTCTGCTTCCTGGAATCAGCCTCCTCCTCCTCCTCCAGCGTGTCTGGAGTTTGGCCACCTGCCCCAGTGCTGCCTGAGCCTCTTGCCCAGGGTGGTGGCAGGGAAACTCGCTACTTCTGTGAGCCAGTTCTGGGTGACAATCCTCTGGGGCAGAGAAATGAGCCCCCACACCTCAGTTCCTCTCCAGCTGCTGTCCTCACTCCCCACAGGACACGGTTCAGGAATATCAAGGGCAAGTCCGTGAAGAAAAGCCGGGACTGGATCCTGGAGAAGAAGGAGCGCAGACGACGCCAGGGCAAGTGAGTCCAGCTGAGTCCTGCCTCAGAGGCTGGGCTGGCCTGCTGTCACCTGCCCTGCCTCCTGCCACAGACCTGCTCCCTTCCCCTCCCGAGGTGCCCTGCGGATGGTGCTGAGCTGTCCCTGCTTTCCCCACAGGGAGGTGCGAGCAGACACGAAATACACGGGGCGGAAGCGCCGTCCTCGCTTCTGAACTGCTCTGGACACTGCTGCCATGGAAGGTGGCACGTGGGTGCCTCCAGAGAGCCTCCTGTGGATGGCACACATGGCACCCCACGCCTGGGGACTTGCTGGGACTGGTCATTGTGGCTCTTAAAGGTACAGACTGGCTCAGGTGCTGCCAAACAGCAAAGCTTCCAGCCCTGTTTCCCTGGTGAAGGTGCAGACTGGGCAGTGCTCTGCAGAGCCATCACTTACCTTGCTGAGTGCAGTGAGCCAGCTGAGCTCCAGGTAAGCCTGGATGTAATATCCAGTTCCTCACTAAAGAGTCAAAGAGTTGGAAGTGTTTGCTTGCGTCCTGCATCCTGCTCTTGGTGCTGGGAGTACTGAGGTGGGAATAGGGCACCTCATTGCCTGCCAGCTTCCCCTCTGCCTGCAGAGGATCCATGCTGTCAAGGTGTGGATCCATGAGGACAAAGTTGCTGCTGGCACAAGTGTTATTCCAGTAGCTGTTTATTCCACCCTGTTTGCTTTAGTGCTTCCAGGGTGCTGGGGCTGACTGGACCCCCCATCACCTCTTCCCTTCCCTTGAAACAAGGAGAGGTGCCACCCAGAGCTTTACAGTTACAAATGTTTATTCTACATAAAAATTCCACAAAATGGGAAGCTGTTTTGCACCCAAAGCCTTGGGAGAAGAAAGGAATGCTAGCAGGAAGGGAAAGAGGGAAGGAGAAGAGAGGCAACATACAGTGTCATCCAGCCCAGTGAGACAGAGCAAGCCAGGGTCAAGATCCACATAGAAAACAAGGACACTTAGCTCACAGTACAGCAACAGTAGAACTCCACGGGGGGCTCGGAAAGCCTTCAAGTACATTAATTACAAAAAAAAAAAAAAAAAAAACAAAACCAATCCCCAGTTCGAGTGCAAGCTGTGCGTGCCCCACACTGCTCATGGAATACTGCATCAACACGCTCCCGGCGTGGGGAGGGCAGGTGGCACTTGGAACAGAGGTGGTGGAACCCAAAGGACAAGCGGGTGCAGGTTGGGGGCTGGAAAGAAAAGGTGAAACGTCTTCCCAAAGCACAACCACACTTGGTGATTTGGTCTGTACATGCAATGACAGGTAGGTGAAAAGGAATTCAGTGGGGCTTCCCGTAGTGCAGGGGTAATTATTGCACCAAAACACCCTCCCCTCACAGCGAGGACAGTGTGAGCCTGCCTGTGGGGCAGCAGTGGCCGCCTGCTCCTCATCTCCCTGGCTTTGGAGCCCAGCACTGCTGCTGCCCTCAGGATCCCAGCAAAGTGCCAGTGGCCCCATCTGACTCCTGCTGCTGTGGGGACTGCTGGCAGTGGTGGTGCCAACAAGGAGCAAGGGCCAAGAACCCCCCTGGAGGCAGTTCCTGGCCTTGTGCCTTGACAGGGGTGCCACAGCCCTGATGTCAGGTGAGTTTGTGCCACTAAAGCCGCTGCCTGGAAGAAAAAAAAGTCACCTTGTGCTAGCAGTTGGCATGGCTGCAGGGCAGGAGCATGGCTGCAGGGCAGCAGCCTGGGAGGAGGGTTTTCCTGCCTGCCCAGTGTTATTGCTTCCTGGAGGGGCCCTGGGGCTCTTGCTGGCCTGGCAGAGTAAGCATGGACAGCAGTGGCAGGGAGCTGCTGAGGGACAGAAGCATGGCCACTCCCTTTTCCTGCAGCCAGATGTCCCCCTGGAGCAGAGACCTGCCCTTGCCTGCCTCCTAGCCCTGCCTGCCTGGTCCTGGTGCCCCAAGCCCTTCAGTGCACGCAGGCTGCAGTGCTGGGGCTCACATGGGTGCTGTGGGACTGTGAAGGAAGGGGGCTCTGGTCTGGGGTGTTCCCATGGCTGCACCCCCAGGGGCTGGGACTGGGCAGAGTGGGGACCCAGGCTGGACCCACTTCTCAGGGGCAGCTGCATGCAGCAAGGGGCTGTGTGGGGGAACCTCGGGTGACAGTGGCACAGAAGCTGTGCCAGGGCTGGCCCTGGGGCAGGCAGCACTCTGGCTACAGCCACTGCCTTTCCCCTGCACCCAGGGGCACCACACACAGCCAGTGCCTGAGCCACAGCACCCTGCCCTGGTGCTGGTGGGAGCTGGGAGGTGATGCTGCCCAAGGCTAGAATACTGGCTGCCATCCAGTGTCCCTTTTCTGCTACCAGCAGCTGACAGCCAGCCCCTGTCCCAGAGTGGCAGTGGGTCCTACCTTGGGACTCTGTGGTGCTTTGGCATGTGCACAGGCCAGCCAGAGCCCTGGGGTCTCCAGAGGAAGGTGAGGGCAGAGCCCTGTCCCTAGCCTGAGGGAACAGGCAATGGCAGTACTGGACCCCCCTGAGCTGCCAGTGAGACCCCCTCAGCAGCTGCATCTGTGTCATGGGCACGGCAGAGGGCACGGGGCAGCCAGCTCCCCACTGAGAGGTGCCTCACTGGATGGCTGGGCAGGAGGGCACGGTGCCAGCAGGTGGCAAACAGGCAGTCAGGCACTGGCCTGTTCAGAACCAGGCTGGAGACAGGAGGAGGGAGGCAGCTGCTCCTCGCTTTGCAGGGGGCTGGATGCAGCAAGGGCTGCTCCTGGGACCACAACAGGAGAAAGCCCAACTGCTTCTAACCCCCAGCCAAGGGTATGGAAAATCAAGGCTGGAGCTGCCCTGCTTGCAGGTGAGCGCTGCCAGGGACTGGATATCAGCAACAGCCCCAAACCCCAGCAGGTTTGTCCAGCCTGTGGGCAAGAGGAGCCAGGACCACCGTGTGCCAGGGCTGAGAGCCTGTGGTGAGGCTGGCTGCAGGATGAGCAGCCAGGGAAATTCACTGGCCTCAGACTCCGTGCCGCCCTGCCCTGCCAGGCCAGCAATCAGGAGCAGCACTGGCCCCCACATGCCTCATTCCTGTCCCCAGGCTACTGTGATGGCCCCAAGCAGCACATGCTCCACCAGGCACCCACCACCTGCACATCCAGCCTTTGGCACCTTGCTGGGGTGAGGGGACAGCCCTGCCACGGGAGGAGCGGCAGGGATGGAGCCCCAGAGCCGGACACAGTCACTGGCCAGGCAGGGCTGGGCAGAGCACACCCCTGGGGAAGGGCCCCGGAGAGAAGCAGCCCGAGGGAAGGTGTTTGCAAGCACAGATGCGGCTGACAGACATGAGAGTTGGAGCTGATGGGCAAGCTGGGCAGGCTGACTGGGCACCGCACTCCCGGGGACCCCAAACACCCACCACCCCTCCCATCCCTCCCCTGTCACTAACACACTGCCCATTAGGGATGAGCAGCAGTGTCCCCGCCGGGTCCCAGCCAGCCCCCCAGCCTGGAGCAGTGATGAGAGCTTGGGTTCCCCGCCGGGTCCCCCTCGCACCCATCACCATCGCCGGCCCCCGCCTGCGCCCCGGGGCTGGAGCTCCCTCCACACAGACGCACCGCACCGCACACACAGCGTCACAAACAACCATGCATTAAAACTGAAATGCTGCTGGGAGGCTCCGGGGCTGCGCGGGTGGCTCTGGCGTGGCTGCAGCCCCATGGCACGCGCGGCTCCGTCCATCGCACACAAACAGTCCTGGGGTGAGTCTAGCCGAAAATGCCGCCGAAGGTGGAGGCGATGACGATGCCCAGGATCACGCAGCAGATTATGATCATGATCTTCTTCTGCTCAGGTGTCCCAGTGGCGGTGGGGAGAGAGGGGAGAGGGGATGGTGAGTGTTGGGGCAGGGTGGATGCAGCAGTTCAGCACAGCAATCTGTCCCATTCCCCTTGGCCCATGGTGGGCTCTGAGCAGCACCCTGGGAGCCAGAAGGGCCCTGGCAGTCCTGGGCAGGGAGAGACACCCCTGCTCCTGCTTCTGCCCTGGGCTGGCAGAGCTGAGCTGGTGGCCTTCAGGTCCCAAAGCTGATATGGGAGCAGGACAGACAGCTGGCACTGCTCTGAATCTGAGCTGAACCATGACCTATCTCTATTTTTTGTTTTTGCAAGGGCAATAACTGTGGCTCTCACAGTCCAGGGGTCCACCTTGTCCCTTTTCCTCCCACCAGGTAGCACCCCTGCCCTATGGCTCACTGTCAGCTTTCACACGGTCTGTGCTGGGAGCTCTGCCTCAGCTGTGCCACCCTCAGGGCCTGGGCTGCTCCCAGTGGCGTGGGGCAATGTGGGCAGCTGCAAAGCTGTGCCAGGCTGCCTGGGGCAGGCACGGGGCCAGGCAGGCCCTGTGCAGGGATGGAGGTGTCAGCAGTACAGGCAGAGCCGTGACTCACCCGCCTGGCTTTGCTCTGGTACTTCACCGCTTTTTTGGTGTCGGACACAGCCCGCTCCACGTAGTCCACCGAGTGCTCCACGTTGTACTCGATGCGGTCAATCATCTCTCCCTGCAGGGGGACACTCAGAGCTCCTTCCTGCTCTGCCGCTCCCTGCCTCCGGGGGGATGCTGCCCTGCCCAGCAGCCCTGCACAGAGAGAAGCACCGTCAGCTGCCTGCAGTACGGGCTGTCTCCTCTGGACTGCATGCCCCGTCCCAGAGGATCTCTGGGCACATCCCAGCAGGGAGACAAGCAAGGGAGAGGGACAAGGGAGCTCCCAGCCCAGTCCCGGTGCTGACCTGTCCAAGATCTCAGGTGACAGCAAAGCCCCAGTGGGATCTACACCAGCACCACACCACATGCTGCTGGAACAGGAGGCATGGCAGGGAGCAAGGACAGGGCCAGCAGCACCATGAAGGATGCCCAGGACACCACGCACGTGCAGGGACCAGGGACCACCGCTCCCATCCACACATGCACTGCACCAAAGGCAGGAGGGTCTGGAGCACAGCCAGCCAGGAGTGAAGAGCCCTGCAGAGACCCCTGCCCTGCCCTGCCCCTGCTGCAGGGGTAGGCTGGGAGTGGGGGCTCCTCTGGGTGTGGGGACATGAGTTGGGGTGAGCTCCTCCAGCCTTGTTCACCTCCTTTGGCCCCATCCTGACCCAGCAGGGAAACAGCCAGGTGTGCAGCAGCTGGACAGGGCTGGCAGCAGTGGGAGGTTTGGAGCCCTGCATGGCATGGAGGGAACTGAGGCCACAGAGCCATGGGCTCATAGCCACCAACTCTGCAATGCCCATTTCTCTGTGCTGGAGAGCACAGGGATGACAAACTTTGGGGCCTGGGGGGCTGAGCACTGAGCCCCACCAACTGTTTGTGTAAAACTGCTGCTGCTTCTTCCTACCTGTGCCATGCCAGGGCAGAGCTTCCAGCCCTGCTGCCTGCCTGGTGCCCTTCTATTCCCAGTGCCAGCAGCTCCAAGCTTCTCACCCACAGGACAAAGGTGCTGGCACAGTCCAGCCCTCTGAGCAGGCATGGAGTCATGAATCCCCACAAATGTCCCCCAATGCAGACAGGACAGGCCACCAACACCACAGTGCCCTGGTGACCCTTGCTGTCCTGCCACTGGCCATCCCAGTGCCATGCAAGCAGCAGCCATGCAGGAGCAGCCATGCAGAGCAGAGCATGCAGCACCAGGGGCTTGGCCAGGGGGCCTTTACCTGCCACGACGTGTCCTCGGGCCATGGCAGCATGGCAGGCAAGAAGGGGGGTGAGCAAAGACACAGGAGCCCGTGCCTGGCTGAAGGGACTGGTGCCACGGGCTGGCAGCACAGCCCAGGGGCCACCCCGAGCTCACCCACACGGGCCTGGTGCTCCAGGGAAGATGAAGGAATCTCCCCCTGCATGGCAGCCACCCACTGCCCTCCTTCTGAGCCCCTCGCTGAGCCTCCCACCCCCCACACACAGCACCCCAGCTCTGGGGTGCCAGGCAGGTGGCTCCAGCCCTGGGAGCCCAGCTCAGCCCCACTGGGAGCCATGCTGGTCCTAGATGTGGCTTTTTCCTCTCAGCACTGTTGTCCAGCCTCCCCACCCACCACAGGGAGCCCCATCACCCTCCAACCCCTCGAGGTGAGCCCTGGGCTGCACCTTTTCCCCACCTGGCTCTCCACCAGCATGGCCATGTCCATGAACATGTCGTGCAGCTCTCGGATGCTGTTCTCCAGTTTGATGATCTCACTGTGCCGTGTCTCAATCTCGTTCAGTGCCTGCTTGGTGATGTTTGAATCCATGATGATCTGCAGAGAAAATAAGGCCACTGAGCACCACGCTCAGACCCAGCTCCAGCGCTGGGGCACCAAGGGAGGGATGAGCAGGAGCTGCAGACCCCTCCATCACCCCAAGCCAGGCAGTTTGCAGCAGGATGCTGGGATTCAGATCCCAACAGATCCTCAGGCCAGACCTGAGCCCCCAGGCCCCCTCCTACACAGGCTGTGTTCATTACCCTGTAGTGAGGCCACTGTGGCACGTCCAGCAGCCCATCCCCTGGGCTGGGGCTGGCTCAGCTGCAGCTGGTGGCAGAGCTTACCCCAGAGGAGAAGATGGCCGGGTTGCCGCTCTCCAGCATGTCCTCCAGCTCCTCGCTGGTGGTGGTCCTGCCAGCTGCAAGCACACAACACAGGTCAGCCAAGAGCCCCCTGTCCCCACCACAGGTCCCACAGGCTCCAAGGTAATCCTCCCACGAGTGGAACAGAGCAAAGCTTTCAGCCCCAAGAGCACACAGAGCAGTTTGAGGGGCTGCCCTCTTAGAGCCTGGCTCTGACACCCCCTATGTTAAGGGCATCAAGCTGCCAGCTTGGCTCACTCACACTGGAATGCCCTTCTGGGCACACTGAGCATTCCTGCAGAGCAGGGAGCAGTGCTAAGGGACTGCTGCAGCCACGGTGTCTGTGAAGGAGGAGGGGTGGGGAAGAAGCCACACTCAGGTGTGTTCTGGACAATCCCTGTCCCAGCCAGTCTAACACCATGAGGACACTGGGCTCAGCTTTGGGCCCTGCTGTGTGTGACAGAAGCCAGGCTCTGTCCTTCCCCCTCCATGTCTCTGGGTGCCTCCAGCCTCATGGCTCCTCTAAAAACAATTCACCCACACCCGAAGAAAATTGTGATTCCTTCCCTTCCCCACCCCATGCAGCAGAGAGAGATTCTGATCCCTCCATGGGTGGCACTGATTCCTGCATAACTGCAGTGAATTTCTTGGGCTAGCAGCCATGTGGGACACAGGGAACTACAGCCAAACAGATGGAGATGCTGTCCAGTGGGATGGGGAGGGTGAGCAGGTCACCTGAGACATAGCAAGTGACACCCACTGGTGTGAACAGGGCAGTCAGGCAGGGACAGCTGATGAAGTGACTCCACCAAGCTTGATGGAACCAAAACCTGCAGAGCAGGGCTGGGGTCTGCAGATGCTCCCCTGTGACATGCTGCCTGCAGCCTGTGGTACTGAAAAGGACAGCAGCCTCCTCCAGGGCGAGTCCAGGGCACCTCAGAGAGGGGGAAATGGGGCAGAGCCAAGCACAGCTCTCAGACACATGGGCAGAGGCTGGAGCTCTGTGTGAGGCTGCTCTAGACAACTGTGACCTGGTAGTGACCCCAAAGCCCTGAGAAGCTGCTGGTTTGAGTCACAAAAACAACCTGAGGGGGCCACTGCCTCCTAACTGGGCTTCATCCTTTGTCTTCCTGGCCTGTCATCAGCTCCTCCACAGCAGTAAAATCAGCTCAGTGTTCTGAGTACCTGATTGATCTGCTGCTCACATTCCCACAGGGCCATGGCACAGCCAAAAATGGGAGTGAAAGGATGGAGAAAGGATGGAGCAAGGTAGCACTGAGGGAGAAGAGCCTGGGGGAACACTCCTGCCCCAAAATTCAGTGAAACACTGGAAAATCCTGAGCACTGGACCTGTGCCTCCCCAGAGAGCTCCAGAGTCCATCTGCCTCTTACTTGGCACCTCTAGCAATTGAAGTTTCTTGGGGAGAAGCAGCTCTGAAACAAGACAAGAAGCCCAGAGCATGGAGGAAACTGGAGGAGCAAACTCAGCCCTAAGCTGGCAGGGAGAGAAGGGTGAGAGACATTGCCCAGGTCACTGCAGAGCCACTGCAAATTTTGGGACAGGTGACCATGAAACCACTGAGGAGACTTCCCACCTCAAGGCACAGCCCTGTAGTGCCCAGCTGGACAGAGACCATCCCCATGGAGCAGCCCTGTCAGGGTGTGGGGGAAGCTCCCAGGGAAGCCTCTGGTGCCACAGCTCAGTCCCACAGCCCAGCTGACTCTGGATGCAGTTTGTCCAAGCCTGCAAGAGGATGTCTGTAAATAGGGAAGGGGGAAGGCAGCTCAGGGCTGGAGGAGCCCAGTGTGCCACGGCCAAAGCAGGGCTCAGCTGGCAGCATCCCCTGGCTGGCAGCATCCCTGCTCCCAGCAGCAGGGCACCTGCAGAGCCACAGCTGGGGCTCACACTGAGGACAAGGCACCTTTCCAAGGCTGGGATCCTCTGCCTGGAGCTGCCTTTTACACACTTACAGACACAAATCCATAGAGATTTGAATAATGCTGTCCTGCCCAGTCCTGTGTGTGAGGTGACAGGTACGAGTGAGTGGCACCCCTGGCTGTCACCAGCTCAGACAGGTCTGGCACTGCCCAGGCTGGCATCAGGATGAGGATTCAGCCACAGAACCCTGCACACCTCATGCCCTCAGAGCTGCTCCTGGGTGGGCAGTGTGATGCTGAGGTTACACAGCACAACCTGTGGCACACACAGACACAGCAGTGCCCACACAAGGAGAAGGGAACAGATCCTGAGAGGGCTGTGGGGAGCCCCAGGGGGTGGCTACAGCCCAGGGCAGTGACTCTGCATCACCAACTCTGCCACTGTCCTACTTGCACAGCCAGATGTGGTGAGGATGGAGAACCTTGCTGGTGCTGGGAGCCTGCCCAGAGCATCTGAGCAACTGAGAAGTTCCTGCTCCCATACTCTGAAAACCTGAGTGATTTTCTGGCTTTGCTGTCAGAGCTCCCAGCACTTTCTCTCTTTGGACTCCTCAGCAGGAAATGAGAGCTGAGGATGTTGTGGAGATCTGTGCAGTCACCACACCCCAGCTGAGCTCTGTCCCAAGGAGCCTGTGCAGGAGCAGCTGGGGCTGAAGGGACACCCCAGGCCAAGCAGAGCCCCTCTCCAGGCAGCACTCCTGGTAAAACATCCATAAGCTGTTCCTTTTGATGAGTCTTTTTGCCAGGAAATGTTTTCCACTGTCCTGATGGGGGAATCCAGCCTTGGCAGAGGGCTGTGCAGAGGGCTGTGTCCCTCCCAGCACAGCCCCATCCCAGCTCTGCACCTCCCCTGGAGCAATGAGAAATGCACTTATCTCCCACACTCCTCCACCCTGCAGGGAACAAGAGTCCCTTGCTGCCAGGGACACCTCCCCTGCACCACACACTGCTCCATGGGGACTCCTGAGCAGCCCTTTCCCAACCCCACCAGGCTCTGTCAGGCACTCACAGACTGGCAGGATGGACAGAGCAGACACAATAACAGTATATCTTCAGGATTTAAGCAGAGCAGCAGAGCCCTCCCAAAAATTCAGGAAGAAAACAAGAGGAAGGTTTCTTCCAGGTCTGCATCCAATCAAGGACAAGGCTGAGTCCTTCCAAACCTCCTCTCTCAGAGGGAGGCACAGGGATACCTTAAATTCCTGCTCACATGACCAGCCACTCCCCAGCTGTCACTGCAGGGTGGTGGTGGCTCAGGGATGAGTCAGGCAGCTGGAGCAGTGACACATCCTGCTCTACAGCAAACTGGCAAGCTCTTGTTGAGCCTCGTGTCAGTCAGCCTTCCCATGCAGCCCTGTTAGCATCAGACATCAGGAAGGCTAATCTGAACAAAGATCAGGGCTGTGTCTCCTTCCAGCCCTCCACAGAAATCCCCACAGCACCCAGACTCCCAGCACATTCCCACAGGTGACCACCAAGGACCCTAGGCTGACTCACAGATCTCCTGTCATTCACAGTAGGGAGTTGTTGGAGGAAAGAAAAAACATCCATTTGGTTGTTAGGAAAAAATAAAGGACTAAGTTCAGAGCCTTCCATTCTGAGCACAAACCCCACAGCATGTCTGAAAGTGAGATTATTTGTAAAAATCTCCTTTTATTCCCCTAAAGACATGGTTCTTCTTTGCTGGGAGACAACCCCTTGCTCTAAACTATCCAGGTACCACTGAGTGCCCAGAAGAACCACAAGGAAAGTGTTTTTATAGAGGCAGGACTGGACTGCTCCTCAGTGATGGGCTCAGAGGTCCTGGTGCCACAGTAGCATCACCTGGGTGAGGTGTCACCAGCCACAGAGGTGTCACCTGAGGTCCATCCTTGGCCACAGCATAATGGCTGCTAAGAGCCCTCAGTCCTGGGCCCAGAGAGGCAGCACTGAGGCTCCTGCTCCTCCTGTGCAAGGGAGACCATCAGGAGCAGGGAGTGCTCCCATCTCAAGAATTCCTTCCCTGTTTTCATGTTTAGCTTAGTTCATCCATGAAGAAGAGCACCCTGAGGAAGGACAAATACCCACAGAATCAGGAATTCCTGTGAGCTTCTTTAAATTACAAATTAGCTGCAAACACAGAAGGAATCGCTCTCCTTGTGATCCCTGTGCTCTCTCTGCAGCATTTTGGGATGCACTGTCAAGGTCCCACCCCATGTCCATCCCTCACAGGAGCCATGCTCCAGTGTCTCCCAGAGGCTCCTGTGCATCCTGGCTTTTCCTGGGCGTTCTGCCAGCTGTGGGAGCAGCTCTGATCCATTGGGAGCCAGTGCAGGACATGGTGAGCAGACAGACAGGTGTGCCAACCCTCTCCCTTGGACAGGCATCCCTTGAATGGGCTTGATAAGATCTTCTCAAACCCTCCTGGACTGAAAAATCCTCCTTGGTCATGGTGAGTTCCCAGCTTGCTTTGGAACCCCGTGTAGATTTGTTGGGGCCAATTGTTTTTTCCCCTTTGTCCCACCTCCACTTTTCCCCATAAAAACCCCTGCTTCTGCCCTGTTCAGGGGGGAGTTGCTGTCCCTGGCCTCCTTCACAAGGTGCTAGAATAAAGGAACTCTGTGGAATAACTACACAGTGCTCCTGTCTCTTTGTCCCTGGGCTGGCCAGGGTACACCTCGCAAGGCAGAGCTGAAATCATTGCTGAGAGCTGGAATCACTGCTGAGAGCTGAAATCCCTGCTAACAGCTGAAATCACTGACAGCTGAAATCATTGAGACCTGAAATCCCTGCTCAGAGCTGAAATCACTGAGAGCTGAAACCACTGCTGAGAGCTGAAATCACTGCTCAGAGCTGAGCTGCCTGCCCCTTGCTGAGGTTACTGAAGGGCTGCCTGAGACCCCTAGAAAGTTGTCTCTTGCAGGATTTCCCTCTGGGAAGGTCCAGGTCAAGCCATCAGACCCCGAGTGGCTACCCCAGCAGAGCCCAGCTGTGCCCCATGGCAGGGTTGCCCAGCCCTGCTCCATGGCAGGGTTACCCAGCCCTGCTCCATGGCAGGGATACCCAGCCGTGCTCCATGGCAGGGTTACCCAGCTGTGCCCCATGGCAGGGATACCCAGCCCTGCTCCATGGCAGGGTTACCCAGCCATGCCCCATGGCAGGATACCCAGCCCTGCTCCATGGCAGGGTTACCCAGCCCTGTTCCATGGCAGGATACCCAGCCCTGCTCCACGGCAGGGTTACCCAGCCCTGCTCCATGGCAGGGTTACCCAGCTGTGCTCCATGGCAGGGTTACCCAGCCCTGCTCCATGGCAGGGTTACCCAGCCCTGTGAGCTGGCCATGGCAGGGATACCCATCCACGGCAGGGTTACCCAGCCCTGCTCCATGGCAGGGATACCCAGCCCTGCTCCATGGCAGGGTTACCCAGCTGTGCTCCATGGCAGGGTTACCCAGCCCTGCTGCAGGGTACTCACTGATCTCCAGCTGCCTCTGGATCCTGCCCTTGCAGCGCTCCCGGTAGTCGGTCTGCGTGGCGTTGTACTCCGACATCACCTCCACGAACTTGCGGGACAGCGTGGAGTGCTGAGAGGGAACACAAGGGGACAGGAGCTCAGGGTGCCAGCAGAGACAGAGCCCTGCTGCCCCTGCAGCAGGGAAGCACCTCCTGCACCTCCAGCTGTAGCTGTGTTTCTCTTCACAGAAAAAAGCAAGGCACGACTTCCCAAAAATATTTCTGGGATTCACATCTCTAAACCTCAGAGAAAGAAAAAACATTTTTCTCATACATCATCCTTAAAAAAACCTAGAAAAATGAAGCAAAAAAACCACCACCTGCAAATTGTTTATACTTAACAAGTTATCACTTCCTTACAACTCCCTGAAAATTTTCACAAGCTGCTGTGACAAACGCTTGCTGTTTCTCTCTCTGTCCCACAGCATCCACATCCAACCACCCCAAAAGCATTTCCAGCCCAAATGCTGCTCCAGAGAGCATGACAGAGCACAAGGGGGGCAGGTGGCAGCAGGTGACACATCCCCAGGGCAGTGGACCAGAGGCATCCCTCATCCAGCCCTACCAAGCACAGCCTCCAGCCCTGAGGAGGTCCCCTGGGAGGCTGGCAGCACCTCCTTGCCCTGCTTGTGCCCAGAAACCTGGAGGCCACAGCAGTGCCCTGGGTTGGGCCCTGCCTGCCACTGCTGTACTGCTGGGACATGCCAGACCCTGCAGAGGCACAGCATGGACCCATGGGCATCACCCTGCACTGCTGGGGGCAACAGCACCCAGCCTGCTCAAAGGCACCATCACACAATAATCATTAGGGCTGGAAAAGACCTCCAAAATTGTCATGTCCCACCTTGTCACCCAGCCCAGAGCACTGAGGGCCACCTCCAGTTGTTCCTTCAACACCTCCAGGTAGGAGGTGTGAGGTGGGACTCCATCACCTCCCTGGGCTGCCTTCCCATGCCTGACCACCCTTTCCATGGGGAAATCCATCCTGATGCCCAGCCTGAACCCCCACTGGCACACCTTGGGGCTGTTTCCTCTTGTCTTGTCCCTGGGAGCAGAGCCTCACCCCCAGCTGGCTGCCCCCTCCTGTCAGGAGCTGTGGACAGCCAGAAGGTCCCTCCTGAGCCTCCTCTTCTCCAGACACAGCTCCCCCAGCTTCCTCATCAGATTCGTGCTCCAGACCCTTCTCCAGCTCCATTCCCGTCTCTGGGCACTCTCTGCACAGTGAGGGAATGTCAGACATGCCTGGCACCAGCAGCACTCAGATGTGTTGGAGAGAGCACAGGAGACACCTGCAGGGTCCTCTGCCACTGGCTCTGCTGCTGTTCTGAACCAGCAAGAGCACAGTATTCATGGAGAGCTCATCTTCTCCCTGCTCCAGCCAAACCTCACACCCACCAATGCCCCTGGCAGCTCCAGCTCCATCCCCTGCTCCAGAGGGGCTGGCCCAGAGCAAGGTCACAGCTCCCAAACAGCTCAAAACGTGATGTGCCATCCAAGTGAGTCTTCTGCTGCTCCAAAATTGTTTTTTCCTAAAATCCACCTCATTCTCATTCAGCTGAAAACTATCAACATATGTTGATCTGGAGCCAGAAATAGCCTGGGTGCTGAGTGACAGCCTTCCTGCTCACTAGCACACCATGCTACACCTCTCTTGCTTAAGAAATGACTTAACTCCGTGTTTACCTTCTCAGACTGTTATTTTATGTTCCTATGAGCATCCCACACGTCTATAATATGCATTTGATTTTTGAAGGAATAGGGAGTTTTGTGCAAAATCAGCTGGAAAAAAGCATTTTAAATGGCTTCCAGACATTACAGAAACCTACCTGAATATTCACAGCAAATAAAAAGCATATCAAAATGAACCTTGTGATTCAACTCCTTAAACAGAAAATATTAACTCAGGTTAGGAAAAGGATTTGTTTCACTCAGGTCTAGCACTCTTCACTTCCCAAACATGGACAAAGCAGCCCCAGCTGGATTTCCAAAGAGCTGATAAAAGCTCTAGGTATTCAGAGTGGGCTCTGAAAGCCCCCAAAAGCACACACACTGAAACTGGGGTCCTTGTCCTTCATGTGATTAATAGGAAGGTATTTTTAGGGTAATACAAAAAATTTATATTTATATATATAATATATACTTATATTTATATATAATATAAATATTATTATATCATTATATATATATATGATATTTTATATATTGTATAGAATAATTATATAAGATATAAAATATTTTTTTATATATAATATATAATATATACTTATATATGATATATACATATAGAACCCTGGAAAATACTGTTGAGACCTCTGGGAAGTTGCATCATTGGCTGCATTTCTGGACTGGGATGCCCTTAGGAGCTGTGGCCCCTGTGCCTGAGTCTGCTGCAGGCAGGTCCAGCTCTGATGAGACTGTTCTGGCTGGAGATGACCTCAGCAAAGCCACAACATAAGTGCATAATCCTAATGCTCAGCTACTCCAGGTTTACAACATGTTCACAAGGGGAATCAGCTCCTCACCCTCCTCTTACTCAGTGTTTTGCTAAGTGCAGCTCCATACAAACTGGAGAAGGCACAAAAACCTACAGAAACCCCAAGCTTCCTGCACCAGGCGTGTCTAAATCAGCTTTCCAGCCTGGCTCATCCCAAATCCACACAGAATGAGGGGAGGGAGGTGAGAGCAGGCCAGGCTTTGGGGACACACTGCCCAGGGGGCTGGACCTGCTCAGTGGCACTGCAGGAGGACAAAGGGGGTGGTGACCCCAGGTGGGGCACAGGCTGAAGAAGCAGGGTCTGGTCAGCTGGAGGTGACAGAGCTTAGAAAGGTCCTTTGGTCACAATGACCCAGAGGGAGCAAAAAAAGAAGCTGGAGCAAAACTCATCCTGGAAGTGCACAGGGGCAGGAAAGGAGATGAGGGACAAAGCTGGCACATGGAATTCCCATTAAGGGGGGGAAAATATTCATAAGAGTGGTCAAACACAGAACCAGGGCTCAGAGGACACCCATGGTCTGTGGTGTCTCCATCCCTCTGGATACTGGGGAGACAAACACCTGCAGGAGCCCAGAGTCAGGGACCAGCCAGGTCAGAAGCCAAAGCTCCACAGTGGAGCAGTGTCACACTGCCCACTCAGGGCTCTGTGCCATGGCCAGGAGGTGCCTCCCTGCCCCCAGGGAAATGCTAAGAAATGCCCAGATTGCAAGACTTCCCAACTCCCTGACTGAGGGAGTTTGGGTTTTTCAGCCTGGAGAAGAGAAGGCTCTGGGGGGACCTTAAAGTCACTTCAGTGCTGAAGGGGCTCCCAGAGAGCTGGAGAGGGACTTTGGACAAGGGCTTGGAGTGACAGCACAAGGGAGAATGGCTTCCCACTGCCAGAGGACAGGGTTAGATGGGATATTGGGAAGGAATTCTTCCCCACAAAGGTGCTGAGGCCCTGGCAGAGGGTGCCCAGAGCAGCTGTGGCTGCCCCATCCCTGCAAGTGCCCAAGGCCAGGCTGGATGGGGCTTGGAGCAGCCTGGGATAGCAGAAGGTGTCTCTGCCCTTGGCAGGGGGTTGGACTGGATCCCAAACCCATCCATAGCTTTATGATGGAGCAGAGCCCTGAATCCCACTCTCCACACAGGATGACACCTGAACCACAGAGTTCAACACAGACCAAACCTAAACCCTGCTCAAACCCACAGCCCTGGCTTATGCACGTCCCATCTGTGGCCACCTCGGTTTCCCCAGACACTGCTGAAGTAAAGCCTTGTCCTGACAAACAAGGGCACAGCCAATGCCAAGGGCCACAGCACTGACTGCCACCTCCCCTCCCTGCCACTGGCACTGCCCTGGGGTGACATCAGTTCTCGAGGGGCTCAGCACAGAGGACAGAGCAGAACCCCTCGGGGCTTCTCAGCACTGCTGTCAGCACACACACGTGTCTCCAGAGTGGGAAGGGAAGGTTTTTCATGGATGGGATCTGCTGACAGCCTGGCACTGTCCAGCTGCAACAGAGCTCTGTCCACCCTGGATCCCTTCTGGAAGGAACACAAGAGCTGCTCTGCATCACAACATGCTGCTGCACCATCCTTTGGCTCTGCCATGCCCCAGCAATTCCCTGCCCTGCCTGCCCTAGGGACAGGTGGGCCCTTCACCTCCCACAGCACTGCAGAGGATGGCTCCCTCACTGAGCTGGGACAGCATCTCCCTGCTGCTGCAGGCTGGGGGTTCCAGCTGGAGCTGCATGTGCAGGGCTGCTCCATCACCATCGCTGCCATGCTGATCTGGCACCAACTGTGATGGGAGAGCAGGCTCCCTGAGGGGCTCCCCAGGCTGAGGAGGAGATAAACCACAACAGATAAAACTGCAGAGCATGGAGGTATCAGGACTTTCTGTGTGTGCATAACCCCCTGTGAGAGGTACAGACCCACATCTGGATCCCAGCCCAGGTGATAAAGAGCACCACCAGCTGCTCTTGCTGCCTTTAGCCCCTAATGGTTTGTTAAAACACATTCCTGGCTGCAGAACAAGGCTCTGAGCTGCTCTGTCTTCACCACATCCCCAGTAGAGAGGACACAGCTCTGCAGTGATGCAAGCACAGATCCCAGGCTGGAGCAGTGGCTGCCACCCCCCAGGTGCTCTCTCACCAAAGCAGCACCAGAAAGCAGAAATTACACAGCAGCTCTGCGTGGCTGGGCAGGAGGACAGAGCTCCAGGCAGAGAAATCCCAAGCACAGGCCTCCTCTCCCAGCACTGCTGGGACCCCTCAGCTGCCTCTCCCCAGCCTCCTCCCTGGTGCAGGGGCTCACCTGAGTTTTCCTTATCCGCAGGTCGGCCGATGACCTGTTCAGCCCCTCCTCTTGTTCGATGCTCTGCTCGATGCCTGCACAGGGCACAAGGACACTTTAGTTTGTGCTGTCTGGAGAACAACCACAGGATCATCAAGGCTGTGAAAGACCTCCAAGATCATCAAACCCAACCTTCCACTGATTACCTCAAGCCCATTAAACCACTCTGCCAAGTGCCACAAGTACTCATTTTTGGAACACTTCCAGGGATGGTGACGCCACCGTTGTGGAGTGCCTGTTCCAGTGCTTAAAAGGAAAGGGATTGCTTGGCAAAGGGACTGTGAAACACTGGATCAAGGAGCAGCTGGTACTGGGCACTTCCCAAATCCTGACTCCACCATCCAGCCTGGCAGCAAAGCCCTGTTCCATGAGTGCAAAGCACCTGGTGCCTGGCCACTGGCTGTGATTTGGGGTTGAAAGGGCAGTACTGTCACCCCCAGGCTGCTGAGCCAGGATTTCCACATAAAATCAACGTGTGCTTAGGTCTGATTGCCAGTATTCAAACAAATTTGAGAGCTGATTCCACCAGAGAGCAGGAGGAGAAAATCCAGAGCTGAAGTGTCTGCAGAATACCAAACCTCAAAACTCCTCCAGGGAACCTAAAGCCAGCAGCTCCTCCAGCTGCCTGGAGTGGCACAGGGTGCACCCACCATGCTGGCAGGAGTGCCCTCACTGTGCTGAGCAGCCACGGAGCAGCACAGGGACCTGCCCCTTTCATTAGGAAGACAATTGACATGAATCCTTCACTGCCCAAAGCCTGAGAGCCACGGCAGGGAGGAGCACTGTCATGGTCCATGGCGCCGTGGGCAGGACCAGCAACCCTGCCCCATCCCTGGCAGTGCCCAAGGCCAGGTTAGACAAGGCTTGCAGCACCCTGGAGCAGTGGGAGGTGTCCCTGCCCATGGCAGGGGGTGAAATAAGATTACCTTTGAGACCTGTTCCAACCCAAACCATCCCATCACTCCAGGATTCTATGAAACCTGCTCCTCAAGACCAGCTCAGGACATGCTAATTCTAAGATTTAATTGCAGGGGCTTATAAAACTTGGAAGAAAGCTCCCATCAGCAGGTTGGCCAGTGTGCAGACACACATCTCCACCTAAACCAGCCATGTGAGCTGGTGACATCCCTGGAGTCTGGCTGAAGACCCCATTCCCAAACAACTGATGTCCCACAGCTCCCAGAGCCCAGCATTTCCATGCTGGAGCAGGTCCCTCAAGGCCAGCACAGGGCAGGTTCCTCCTGCAGCAGGGCTCACCCTCCAGCACAGCCCAGTGTATTTCAGCAGTGAAATACCCTGAGTGTACACTGAATAATTCCTGCACCCTCGTCACAGAGCACTCCCCACTCCCATGGAATGCTACTGGCAAACACTGGGCAGTTCTGATAACCAGCAAAATCACATTTTCCCAAGAAGCTTGTAATCAGAATTAGCCCCTGCATGAGTAATGTCTGGCCTGAAGAAGTCAGTTTGCTGTCAGCAGATGTTGTTTTTGATCAGTCCTGACTGTTTTCTGTCATTGATCATGCTGGCCATGAGGCAATTTGGGACAAAGCACAAGCACTAGTCATCTGCTGCTGCAGGTAAATATGACAGCAGAGAGGCTTTTCTGGAAGCAGGAAACAAAAGCCTGTCCTGCAATCCTTCAGGCTTTCAAAGTCCCTTAAAAACACTGAACAACACACTTATGGAAAAGGATTTTTGTTTTTTTAAGGCCAAACCCCATCACCAGGGATCCCAGTTTGTTCAGGGCCATAGGAATGGATCCCTTGGATTATGGAATAGATAAGACATCCATGGCTCTCCTTCCTGGCTCTAGTTGAGATCATGTGTTAGGAGGACAGAGGGAGCATGAGGTACAGGTCTCCTGGCCCACACGTGGGACATGGCCACACCAGTGGTGACCTAATAAAGGGCTCCAGGCATATCTGAGTCTTCCATGGCTGCCAGAATTCCACAAAACCCTGGGATTAGTGAGGACCCTGCTGCCTTGGGGGAAGCACCAGCTCCTCTCCCACCCTTCAGACACAGCCAGGCCTTCTGCACCAATGCCAACAAAAACCCCCGACTGATGTCCATGCCACCACAGGCAAATCCAAGGTGCCAGGGGTGACCTGCCTCCTGTCTCAGGGTGCTGCCATCCTCATGGACTCCCTCAGTCCCCTGGGGTCCACTCTTGCAATTCTGGGTTGTCTGAGTGCTCCAGCACAACCCTGACCATCAGTGGGTTGACAACCACCTTGTTCTCACACCTCAGAGACTGACTGACCTTCAATAGTGGACACTGAAGGTCACATCCTGCAGCACATCCCACAGCAGCCCCTCCTCACCCACCCAGACCTGAACAGAACCTTTGGCCACACTGGGGGTTTGCCCAGTGTCCAACCCCTGCCACAGGTGTGGCACAGGACCCACTCAGAGCCCACCAGCTGCTCCTGGCCCCATTCCCTCATTTCCATTCTGGGAATGGGGCACAAGGGGACAAATTCACCAAGGGCAGATAAAAGCATCAGGAGGGAACAGCAGAGAGGGAAGGTGATGCTGATCCCTGGGAGTATTTCCAGCATGGGACAAGAGTGCTCCAGGCAGAGCCCACAGCTCCATCCCAGGCTGTTTAGTTTAGTTTAGTTTAGTTTAGTTCAGTTTAGTTTAGTTTAGTTCAGTTTAGTTTAGTCATCACTCACTCTTTAGTTTGGAGCGCACTTTGTTCGCCGTCTTCTTGATGTCAGACATCAGCTCCTCCAGCTCCTCTTTCGTTTCTGGGGAGAGAGGAAAGAGCAAACATGGACGTGCTGCAGACACCACTAAAATCTGCTGCCCTGCAGAGTGCAGAGACCAGAGCTGTGAGCACTTCAACCCTCTAACTGGAAGAATTTCCAACCCCTGACTGAAAACACTCCCAATTCCCAGACTGGGAGCACTCCCACATGCAGACTGGGAAAACTTCCACCCCCAGGCTGGGAGCATTCCCACAATCCAGACTGGGAACACTTCCACCCCCAGGCTGGGAGCACTCCCACCCCCAGACTGGGAGCACTTCCACACCCCATGCTCTGTGCTGGACTCTCCTCACACTCCTGAGACCTCAGGCTGCTTCCAGCTCTGGGGCCCCAACACAAGAGTTAAACTGAACGAGATGAGGTCAGGTCAGAGATGGGGAGGAAATGTCAGACCGTGAGTGGGGTGAGCCCTGGCACAGGGTGCCCAGAGCAGCTGTGGCTGCCCCATCTCTGCAAGTGCCCAAGGCCTGGGGCTTGGAGCAATCAAGGTATCCCTCAAATTCCCTTCAGACCCAAAGCATCCTGTGACTCTGTGACCACATACAGCTCCTCTCCCACAACCAGCGTGCCCTGAAAGAAGGCAGGATTTGCAGAGGTGCCCCTCGCCAGTCTGTGCTTCAGGAACTGCCAGAGCCCCTGGGGCAGGGGCACAGCCCAGGCCCAGCTCCCTGGGACCCAACTGTGCTCTGCCAGTGCAGCTCTCCCTGCTGCCAGCCCAACACTCCCTCTTGATTTTGATGAGATCAAGACTTAATTAAATAAAACTTGGTTTAATAGAGCTGAGGCATATTGACTGACTCATGTCAATGGTTCTGATGCCAGCTGCCAGTCACAGGCATAATTAGAAAATCTTGATGATGGGAATGTTCTGGGGGAAGGTCCTCTCATTCTGGCAGCTGTACAAATTCCTATCCCTGAGCTACAAGCTTCAGCACTATTTGGAAAAGGAGAGAAGGAACACATCTGTGAAGTCCTTCACCCCAGGATATTTGCTGGAGAAGGGGCACAAATGCAGCAATAGGACATTTTCAGTTTAAGTTCTCATTTAAGCGACAAATTTTTTTTTTACCCATTCTTAAAGAAAAACTTGTAATAATAAGAAATAAAGAAATAATAAGAAATGGTAATGTGAAGAAATTTCTTGAAATAATTTGCAATAATAGGAAAGTAATAAAATAAGAAACTGTTATAATAAGAAATTAATAACTGTAATAACAAGGAATTAATAATTATTTATTAATACAGAAATTAACCAGCCTGGGCTGAGTGACTCCCTGCAGCCATCCAGGCTGGGTAAGCAGACAAGGACCAGGAGTACTGGAGACAAGAGGCTGCCATGGACATGGGATGGGCTGGGAGCTGGGATTGTTCACCTGGAAAGAGGAAAGCCAAGGGGGTCCCTACTGCTGTCTGAGACCACCCTGCAGCAGGGTGGAGAGCAGCTGGGGCCAGGTGTCCTGCTGGTACTTGCAGGTGACATTCAGCTTCCTACTGAAGCCTGGGGGTGCACAGGACTAGAACAAGCAGTGCTGGACCAAGCTGGGGCAAGGAAAATGCAAATTCGATATTAAGAAGAAAAACATCCATGACGGAGGTCAAACAGCAGATTCAGAGGCTGTGGGATGTCTGTGGGATGAAAATTCTGCACAAGGCTGGTGAAAGGCTGAGCACTGGACCTGCTGGAGGGGACTGGCCAAGGTCCCTTCCCACCCATAGCCACCCTCAATTCAATTCTACTGAACAATTTCTCATAACTCACTGCCATGTGCTTTCCCTTCTCCCTGTCAGTTCAGGCTGGGGGATCCCCCCATTCTGCTCTGAGACCTCAGCTGCAGAGCTGCTTCCAGCTCTGGAGACCCCAACCCAGGAGGGATGTGGAGCTGCTGCAGCAGGTGCAGAGGAGGGCACAGAGATGCTCTGAGGGCTGGAGCCCCTCTGCCCTGGAGCCAGGCTGGCAGAGCTGGGGGTGCTCACCTGGAGAGGAGAAGGCTCTGGGGACAAGGGATGGAGGGTCAGGACACAGGGAATGGCTTCCCACTGCCAGAGGCAGGGATAGATGGGATGTTGGGAAGAGGTTTCTCCCTGTGAGGGTGGGCAGGCCCTGGCACAGGGTGCCCAGAGCAGCTGGGGCTGCCCCACCCCTGGGGTGTCCAAAGACAGGTTGGACAGAGCTTGACCAACCTGGGACAGTGGAAGGTGTCCCTGCCCATGGCAGGGGTATGAGATGGGATGGGATGAGATGAGATATGAGATGAGATGAGATATGAGATGGTCTTTAAGGTCCATTATGAGCTGTGTAACACTCTGTGAAGCTACCACTGAGGACACACAGGACCATGCTGAGCACAGGCCTGTGCTGGCCCCTCAGGGAGCCAGCCAGGGCCACAGGACCACACTGAAGGAAGAGGGGACAAGGAACAAGGCTGGATGCCTTCCCTCAAAATATTTCCAACTGAGCAGCATGAAGAACACTCCTTCTGGCTTGATTTGAGTCACAGGCCGTGTGAGGATTGCTTGGCGGCCTGGCAGGCACAGGCTGCCCAGACAATTATTTTCACATGCACAGTGTCTGTTTAAGTGACTCACCCAGATTATTTAACCATTCACAGCCAGTGACACACAGCCACGGGAAGCTGCAGCACCACAACACTGCTGGCTATGGCCAGCATCCCTTCATGCCAGTGGCACTGGGGGCAGGTGGGATGTTTCAGAGTGTGAGCCAAGCTCCCCACATCCCACAGCTCTCCCAGGATGTCTGCTCCATTCCCACTGGCACTGAGCACAGCCAGAGCAGAGATGTCCATCCCCATGTGCCCAGTCTCTGCCAGGAGGGAGAAGGAGTCTTTGCTCCAAGGTTGAGTCTTGCACCCCTGAGAAGCCCCAGGGCCTGCTGTGACCTGCCTGGGAGGGAGCCCAGCAGTGCAGGGAGCAGGCAGGGGTGCAGGCAGGGGCAAAAACTCTTCCTCCTCCCTCTGCCAACAGCTCCTGGGGCTGTCTGACAGAGAGCAGACACAGCCCAGGCTGGTGACACCGCAGGCAGGCAGCAACAGGAAGGCAGGAGCAGGCAGGAGCAGGCAGGAACAGGCAGGAGCAGACAGGAGCAGACAGGAGCAGGCAGGAGCAGGCAGGAGAAGGCAGGAACAGGCAGGAGCAGGCAGGAGCAGAAGGGAGGAACAGGCACACAGGAAGGAGCAGGCAGGAGAAGGCAGGGAGGCAGGAGCACACAGGAGCAGGCAGGAGAGCAGGCAGGAGAGCAGGCAGGAGAGCAGGCAGGTGCTGGCAGGCACAGACCTCCACCCTTCACAGGTACTGTCACTCTATCTCTCTGGACATCATGGTGACAGTGACTTTGCTTACAAGGTGCTCAGCCCTTGACTCTTTGCTGGGACTAAGAAAGTTCACCTCGGCAACCTTCAAGTCTTTACTGACAACAACCAACCAAAATCCTCAAGAAAAGTGCAATTCCAAGCTAATTCCCAGCTGAGTTACCTGGCAAAGCTGGAAGGATCTTTTTGGCAAAGACTTAGCTCTTTCAATAAAAAATGAAAGAAGAATTGGGAACAGTTCTTTGAAGAAAATTAAAAAAAAAAAAAACAACAACAACCTTTCTTGTTTATCTAGGAACTTTCATTTTATGGAATGTTGGGTATTTTTTAAAGGTGAATGCAAAGAGGAAGCACAAACCTGAAAGCTCTACAAGGATCTGATCTCTGGGAGCAAATAATGAATCCTTCCGAGGAACTCTAGGGATTTGGAAAAAATATCTTCCATAGTGTTTCATGGCCTTAAAGCAACACAAATGAAATCTGTTTTAAAAGAACTAGAGATGAGATTGGCTAGAAAGGTCCTGAATGTAGGTCAGGGCAATCCCCAGTGCCAGCACAGACTGGGGGATGGATGGATGGATGGATGGATAGATGGATGGATGGATGGATGGATGGATGGATGGATGGAGAGCAGCTCTGTGCAGAAGGACTTTCTAGCTGAAGTCCCATTTGCCAAAAGAGATTTGGGACATCAGTGACCTCTGTGCAGTCCTTCAGTTCCCAAAGGCTGACATTTATTCTTGGAAACAGAGCTCAGAGTTTCACATTGCAACTTATTGATTCAAGCTGTGGGAAACAAGAACAAAAGCATCAGATGCTGACTCAACCCTTTCCTAATTGTCTAGAATTTTTTTCAACTCTGGCTAATAAAACACTTTGCAGCAGGTATGACAGAATAGAGAACAGGAAAGAACTGCTCCACCCCTGCTGCAAGCAGAGCCAGTCCTGTCCCACCCCTGCAGGAGCAACACAAGGAGTTTCAGCTGCCTGCCAAGCTGTAGAAACAGGTGGCAAGGCCATCCACCTGTCACTGCCAGGAGCAGGGCACAGGAGACAACCAGTACTGTCAGGAAGGAGCAGTACCCCAGGATTTTTAACTTCCTGCACGCCAGGAACAAATCCTGTTCAAGGTGCAGCAAGGAGAGACACAGCCAGGGTTCAAGGTCAGTGCAAAATGTCCAGGCTTTTACACAGGACCAGAACAGAGATGATGCACAGAAAGGTCTGAAAATCTTGTGGGATCCCCTGGGATGAAAGGCACACCCTGAAATACCCCTCATTCATCCACCTGGATGTGTTTTGGGGTGATCCAGAAGAGATTAAATTGTAGCTTTTGACTTTTTACTTCATTGAAAGGGAAGCAGGTGAGATCACAGAATCCTAGAATCACAGGGTGGTTTGGATTGGAAGGCACCTTGAAGATCATTCCAACACCCTGCCATGGGCAGGGACACTTTCAACTAAGCCAGGTTGCTCCAAACCCTGTCCAGCCAGCTTTTGGACACTTCCAGGGATGGGACATTTAAATTAGTTCCTATAACATAGTCATAGGGAATTAAATTCTGGTACCATCAGTGAAATTGCATTTATATAACAGCATTTGATACCAGTGGTGACGGATCCTGCTTCCCAAACTCTGGGCTCCCAGCATGA